ATATTCACTCAGCAATAAAAGAGAATAAAATCATGGCATTTGCAGGTAAATGGATGGAATTAGAGAAGATAATGCTAAGTGAAGTTAGCCAATCCCCAAAAAACAAATGCTGAATGTTTTCTCTGATATCAAGGAGGCTGATTCATAGTGGGGTGGGGAGGGGGAGCATGGGAGGAATAGATGAACTCTAGATAGGGCAGAGGGGTGCAAGGGAAAGGGAGGGGGAATGGGGTTAGAAATGATGGTGGAATGTGATGATCATTATTATCCAAAGTACATGTGAGAAGACATGAATTGGTATGAATACACTTTGTATACAACCAGAGATATGAAAAACTGTGCTCTATATATGTAATAAGAATTGTAATGCATTCCACTGTCATATAAATAAAAAAAAATATGAAGCCTAAATAAGCTGGGCCAGAGCATCTCCTAGGAGGTTCTTGTTCCACTCTATCCCCATCAATTCCAGTGGCAAGACTTCATCGTCATCTGTCCACCTCCCCCCCTTTTCTATCCATTCTCACAAGGTCTAACTCAAATAAAGGAGCAGAAGAACAACGCAGATGTGCTGGAAAGACAAAAGTCCCAATACCTTCCCAGCAAGCTTTGGGGTCACAAGGTGAAGGAGGCAGACAGATGTTAAGCAGTATTCTGCTCGGCCTTTCTCTCAACGCAGTTTTCTTAATTCAAAATATAGACTATGAACTTGATGGAGCTCAGCCTCAGACCTGCGGGTCAGAAGGCACAAAGCAAGAATGAAGGGGGCCGTGGAGTCCTTCCCCCACGGTGGGACAGGCTGCTTTCTGCCATGAGAGAAGGCCTCTCCATGGCTGCTTCTCAGGTCGGACGTGTCTCAGACTTTTCTTCATCGTTGACTTAGTGATGAATAACTCAGAAATTCCTCCTGCTGGCCCGACACAAAGGTTTCCACATGATGATTATTTTTCTTTCCTTTTAATTTCTAAACGAAGGCTGACTTACCCCAAGGGCCTGCAGGACTCCCTTCTGGTGATCCTGTGATCCCTCCATGAGCTGGTAAGCAGGATTATTCACACACTCTGGTTTGGCCTGGCCGCCCGGGGTGCTGCCCGCAGAGACCCTCGGTGGCTCTGCCTTGTTCCCTTCTTCAGAGGCCATTTGGGGTTGTTTTCGGCTGTCATGGAAAAGAAATCCAAAAGCTTAACGTTTTCCCCTTTGCCACGTGATAATAATATTTTTGGTGTGTTGGAAGAGTTCCACTCTGTCCATGCACCAAAATGATGGACCACAGATGGAGCAAGAAGGCAGAAGACAGAGTTGACACGATGCTCTGCTCTGTCCCACCCTTCTGAGGGCCATTTCCACGCCAGAAACATGTTTCTCTGCAAGCTTCACCCAGCAGTCTGCTCTTCTGCCAGACTGAGTCTCACCCCGTGCCATGCTCCCACGATGCCCCTGGAGTCCTGGCCGTCTAAATGAAGCACCCCTCTTGCTTACTCTCAGACTCCCCAACTTCCTTCTCTGGCCCCTTAATCAGGCTGAGCTTCAGTTTCTAGAATACTTGTCTGAGTCTCACTTGCCTCTCATCACTGGGTGACAGTGCCTAGCCCAAATCTATCATGTGATTGGCACGCAGCTAACACACAGTTCATAAACAAACTTTGGTCCAGTATGACATAGCCGTGCCTCACAGATGACACTAGAAAACATGTCTGCAAACCGGATCCTCTCACACTGCGAACCCCAGGCCACTCTGGAGGGAGGAAATCTAAGCACGTTCGTGCGTTTAACTTTTCTAAACCGTCAGAGAGAATTTTCAGTCTTCAGGTAAAGCAAGTTATGTTCTGTAACTTTTGGTCAATTTAATGTTAAAAAAAATCAGAGAAATAGAAGTTTCCTAGGAATTTTCCAATTTTCCCTCTCCAGCTCTGAATGTAGCAGAAGTTGGTCTAAGTGCTTTGCTCATGTTAAATAATTTAGTTCTCACCATATCCATTTGAGTGGTTACTATTGTGAAGACCCTTTCTTTCTTACAGGGGAGGAAGCTGAAGAACAGAGAGGTTAAGTAAGTTTCCCAAGGCCACCGGCCAGTGATTTCATGAGCTAGGGATCATAGCCTGGGACTCTGGCTCTAGTTATCATTATCCATATCATTCCTTGGAGTTTATGCTGAAATTCACTCACCAAACCCATACAACCCTCAGGAACATGCAAACCATTTCTTGCTGTCAAGACTGGCAGCCATTTGGAATTAACATGCATAAGAGGTAGAGGTGTGCGTGTGTATGCGTATGTGTGTGTCTGGGTCCATGCCCACATTTCCCAAAGAAATAGCTGCATGTCTCCATAATTTTTTTTATCATGGCATCAGAGTAACATTCACACTCTAAGTAGAAGCCATCCTTATGGATGAATAATTCCACAACTCCATAAAACAATAGCAAAACACTTTATAGACATCCCAAGGAGGTCACTGGGAGGCAGCAGACCAGAAAGAAAGGGGAATTTCTACCAAGAAGGAACATACAGGTATTACCTGGGGGACTTCAGGCTTTGGCAGACTTCTTTCCACTCAAATCCATCTTCTGGAGAGTAGGAGACACTCAGGAATGATCCCCACGGTGTCTGTTCCAGAAAACAGCAGCCACTTCCTCCTCAGTCTTAACGGATCTTTCCCTTGTGCAACACTTCACTGGAGCCAGTGAAAATGTGTCCCTGGCCGATTGGAAGGTGTGCTAATCACATGTGCATTTACGGCCTCTCTGACCATCAGCTTCCCCAAGGCTGAGCAATAAGTAGGAAAGTAACTGTCGGGAGTAACTGTCTTCTGGCTTTGAGAACGTTGCTGAACCCATTGTTGGAGCAGAGATGAAATCTCGATCAATGGGAAGGGGTTGTAGAATAGAAGAGTAGAGCTGGTAGAGTTGTATAGTAAGAAAAGATAAGAACAGGAGTAAAAGGGAGGAGGGACAGTGGTCACTGAGACACTTAGACTCTATCAGCTGCCAGCAAAGATACCAGGTACTTTACATGCATGAACCTGTTCAGTTCTCACAGGTTTTGAAAGGTGAATTACTTTGTCCAATATCGTAAATTAACAATGCTAATTTAGTGTAAATGTATTCAATGATTACTGTGTACAAGTTGCTGTTTACTTATATAAACTCCTGCTAGCCTCACTGTAGCCCATGACCTAGGTACTTCCATTAATTCAATATGATGGAAGACAAATCTATGGCATGGAAATGTTAGCCAGATGTCCTCTCATTTAAAGAACTATCCTAGTCCACTTTCTGCTGCTGTAACACCATACCACTGTCAGGGAAATGTACAGATAACAGACATTTACTTGGCTCATGGTTCTAGAGGCTGGGAAGCCTAAGGCCATGGCACAGGCTTCTGGCGAGGGCCTTCATACCGCATCATCACATGGTGGCGGGCCGGTAAGCACCACAGGACAGACAGGATGCAGGCCACACTTCATCCTTGGATCAGGAACCCATGCCCATGAGGACTAACACAACCACAGTGATATTAACCCAGCCCCGAATCCTGGGCAGCCTGGGTGGCGACCTCCTCAGGCCTTGCACGACTCACTCCCTTGGCTTTCCTAGGATCAGCCCATGCCTCAGCTCACCCAGGTTGCCCTCTCCTGTCTCCGAGACTGGCATAGCGTATTGGTAGCTCTGCAGTCCTGGGGTCAGCCAGTACAGCTCTCTGTGGTATCTGCACCCCTGCAACAAGTCTCTGCCTGGGCACCAAGCTGTCCGCAGCACTGTTGGAGATCTGGATGGAGAAAGCCATGTTCCCCCCAGCTCTTAAATTTTGCATACCTGCAGAATGAGTACCTTGTGGGTGCTGCCCGGGTTTGCAGCTGGTTGAGCCACAGCCAGGCCCACCTGAGCACTGGCTGCAGCAGCTGAGAAGGGCTATGCGAGAATGCTGGGAGCAGCGTCCCAAGGAGGTCAGGGCAGGCAGCCTGTGGATGGCCTCCTAGAACTTGGTCCGCGACAGGACAGGCAGATTTGAAGATCTCTGAAATTCCTCCCATTATCTTGATGACCCCTCTTCCTATACTTATGTAAAATACTTGCTTGGCTCTCCTAAACAGACCTATTCATTCTTCACAGGGACGGCCTGTGAATTTTCCAACTTCCTCTCTGCTTCTCTTTGAATTATAAATCCCATCTCTGAGTGATTTCCCCCCGCCCCCGCCCCCGTCTTACATTTCCCTGCGTGCAGTTAGAGTGGACACATGGACGCCAGAATGGTTTTCTGCTTAGATATTTCTTTCCCCGGGTATCTTAGTTCATTGCTCTTAAGTTCCTCATTCCAAAAAGGCCCAGGACGTGGACATCATTCCGCCATGTGCTTTGCAGCTGTGTCACAAGAATGACCTTTACTCCAGTTTCCAACCCCTTGATCGTCCTCACCTCTGTCTGAGCCCTCATCAAAAGGGCCTTTCCTATCCACAGAACTTACCAACGTTCTGGTCGCAACTGCTAAGTCATCTCTAAGAAGAGTCAGACTTGCCCTACGGCTGTCCTCTTCTGAGTTCTCACCACGACTTCCCACAATGCTCCGTGGATGGCAGTACAAGCATTTTCAGGCCATTCTTCCAACTCTTCCCAGTACCCAGTTCCAGGTACTTGGTATCACAGTAGCTCTACTTCTTAGTACCTATTTTCTGTCCTGGTCCATGTTCTTCTGCTACAACAGAATATTGCAGAAGGGATAACGTATAAACAATCGAGGTCTACTTGACTCTTGGTTCTAGAGGAGAGGAAGTTGCAGACCAGGGCACCAGCTTCAGGCAAAGGCCTTCAATGCTACATCCTAACACAATAAATAGAACTGTTAGCAAGCACCGGCGAGACAGAGGATGGGGCTGAACAGCATTTATCCAGAGCCCACTCCTGAAGCCACTAACCCATTCCTGTGACAACGACAAAAATCGATTGAGGAGGACTCTGCCCTCAAAACCTAATCACCTTTTCAAGGTTCCACCTCTTGTTACTGTCACAATGGCCATTAAATTTCAACAGGAGTTTGGAGGGGACTTTCCAAACACAGCATCAGCAAAGCCACGTCCAAAACCCAGGTTCTGTGCAGTGTAGAGCCAGAATCATGCCTGGTATCCCAGTGTGATCCTAACAACTGGGATATGCCCATCTAATTAAACACTAGATCATATGCTCATCCCAAATAAACAAGCATCCTTAAATAGGCAGGAAGATGAGAGCCAAGGCACAAGGAGTAAGGAAGTAGGCATTGTGCAAAGATCCGAATTACAATCCTCACAGAGGGTCACAGGGCAGGGCCTGGGAGGAGGGCCCAGAACAGCGGGGCCACAGGAGAAGTCAGTGAGAGAAAAATGCACGCAGCAGAGTGAGGTCCCAGGCCCAGAAACCAGAGCATAAACAGGGACAGTTCACAGGTAAGAGGAAGAGGACCGGGTTCCACAACTGAAGGGCAGTTCAGCAACGGAGACTGTGCACACGGGGTGAGCAGGGGTCCAGCGTCCAGGAAAACACACCACACAGGAGCTCTGCAGCCAGGGCTGGCAACGGAGCCTGGAGCACCTCAGCAGAAGCCAGAAGGAACTGGTAGAAAGGACGGTGGTAAAAGATGTGACAACCCCCTCTCACCCCATTTTAGCCAAAGCCACTGCAAACGGGAATACTGGAGAAATGACAGGAAAGTGCCCTGAGCAAAGGAAGGAAGAAATATGAGGAAGTGAGAGAAAAAAAAAACGAATCAAGCTTATTTTGAATTTAGGTCTCTAAACACAGCCACGAAAGGAACTTTTGTGGTCTTCAGTGATCTCATTTAAGACCTTAGAAAACAGTATTCCGTTTATGGCCTGGGGTGGTGGCTCCGTGGTAGAGCGTTTGCCCAGCATGTGTGAGGCACTGGGTTGGATCCTCAGCACCACAATAAATAAATTAGTTAATTAATTAATTAATTAATTAAAGGTATTGTGTCCATCTACAATTAAAAAAAATTTTTTTTAAAGTTTAAATGACAAAACGCAGGTCAAGGTCTTGGTAGCTAAGACCTCTACATAAGTTCCAAATAAACAATAAACACAAGAATGTCCTTCACTTCCTTCGAAAGGGAGTGATTGTGAGATACATAGCCTTCGAGAAAATATTCGTGATAAAGATTTAATGCGTTTGCTGTGTGCCAACATGATGCATTAGGTATGCATACGTTGTGAAATAACAATCATGAATTAGATAAGGGAACTATCACGGTTTTTGACTTTGGAATGTGATCCACGTGTTGGATTCCTCGTTTACTACTTTATAATGTTGTAACTTTTCAGTCATCATTTTGATACAGTGTCCTGCCAGAGAACAAGTAAAACCTGTTCTCAACAACTTCCAAGTCCACCACACACCACTGCTGTGGACCACAGCCACCTAGCTAAGCATTAGATCCTCAGGGTGGACTCACTTTGTTATACCTCAGGAAAGCTGTGGGGGTTAGGGGGGAGTCAAATAAATAAATACATGAGGGTAAACATTTGTGAAAAGGAAGAGAGAAGACTTAGAGGTTTTTCTTTCATTTGTATGCAATATTTCCTAATTATAGAATGCAACAGAGAATAAACATACAACCCAAAACTTACATGGCTACCGACAGTCTCTCCAGGCTACCAGTCATGACCTTATAAACACAGAGTATTTAACAATACAGAGACGTGTAATTTTATCATTTGCTTTGTGAGTCCAAAAAAGGACTCGTAATTGTTTGTATAAGAAACTCCTTAGCCAAAATAACAATGACTTTTGGAGCTCTGAAATCTTTTCATGAGAAACAAACTGTTTTTTAAGGGCTGACATTTGAAGTCCTCTCTTTGTAGCAGAACCTAATCAATGCTCTTTGATGCAATAGACAGACAAACCTACACGGCTTGGCAGAGCTGGCTGTGTGAGGCCTCACCTCTGAATTAATTCACTCCTAGATTCCAACTGTCCCAACAATAGTCAAATTGCCCTAAAATATTACTCAAGAACAGTGTAGAGATTAGAATTCCCCCAAATAACAATTTTTAAAAAGCATAAGCTGGGCACTGTGGCACACACCTATAATCCCAGTGTCTCAGAAGCTAAGGCAGGAGGATTGAGGGTTAAAGTCACCCTCAAAAACTTAGTGAAACCCTAAGCAAGCTGGTGAGACCCTGTCTCTAAATAAAAATTTTAAAGGGGCTAGGGATGTAGCTCAGAAGTTGAGCAATCCTGGGTTCAATCCCTGGTACCAAAAAAAGCATACAAGTTTATGTGGGCAAATTGGGAGAGGTGAAGAACAAGGGCTTGCTCAAATATTTTTTTTATTTCTTCCTTTTAGTTATACATGACAGTATTTTGACACATCATACATACATGGAGTATGACTTCCCATTCTTGTGGGTGTATATGATGTGGAGTTTCACTGATCTTGGATTCATATATGAACACAGAAAAGCTACATCTGATTCATTCTACTTTCCCATTCCTGTTCCTCTTTTTTCCACCCATTCCCCTGTCCAATCCAGTAAATCTTCACTCCTCCCCACTTCCTATTGTGAGTCAACATCTGCATATTAGATGCAGCCTTGGGTTTTTGAAATTGGCTTATTTCACTTAACATAATAGTCCTCACTTCTATCCATTTACCTGCAAATGCCACAATTTCATTCTTCTTTACGGCAGAGTAATATTCCCTTGTGTATATGTACCACATTTTCTTACCCATTCATCTATTGAAGGGCACCTAGGTTGGTTCCATAGTTTAGCTATCATGAATTGAGTGGCTATGAACATTGATGTGGCCACATCACTATGCTGATTTTGAGCCCTCTGGGTATAAACCTAGGAGTGGGATGATTGGGTCAAATGGTGCTTCCATTCCAAGTTTTCTGAGGAATCTCCATACTGCTTTCCAGAGTGGTTGCACCAATTTGCAGCGCCACCAGCAATGAATGAGTGAACAATTTTCCCTGCATCCTCGCCAATATTTATTGTTACTTGTATTCTTGATAATTGCCTTTCTGGCTGGAATGAGATGAAATCTCAGAGTAGTTTTAATTTGCATTTATCTAATTGCTAGTGATATTAAACATTTTTTTACATATATATTTATTCTATGAAGCATCTGTTCAATTCCTTTGCCCATTTATTGATTGTGATATTTCTGTTTTGTTTTTAAAGTTTTTTGAGTTCTTTATACATCCTGGCGATGCTCAGTCTGAGATGCAGGTGGCAAAGATTTTCTCCCTTTCTGTAACTCTCTCTTTATGTTCTTGATTGTTTCCTTTACAGTGAAGAAGCATTTATTGATTATTGATTTTGCTTCTTGTGCTTTAGGAGTCTTGTTGAGGAATTTTCCTAAGCTGACATGATGAAGATTTTGTCCTAATTTTTCTTCTAGTAACTTCAGAGTCTGTGGTCTAATTCCCAGGTCCTTGATCCACTTTGATTGACTTTCATGTAGGATGAGATAGGGGTCTAATTTCATTTTGCTACATATAGATTTCAAGTTATCCCAGCCCAATTTGCTGAAGAAGCTATCTTTTCTCCAATGAATATAGAATCGTGCCTTTTTTGTCTAGTATGAGATAACCGTATTTACATGGGTTTGTCTCTATGTCTTCCATACCATTAGTCTTCATGCCTGTTTTGGTGCCAATGCCACGAGTTTCGTTACTATAGCTCGATACTATAATTTAAGATCTGGTATTGTGATGCCTCCTGCTTTGCTTTTCTTGCTGAGGATTGCTTTGACTATTCTGGACCTCTTATTTTTCCAAATGAATTTCCTGACTGCTTTTTCTATTTCTATGAAGAACATCATCAGAACCTTAATAGGAATTGCATCAAATCTGTATAGCACTTTTGTTAGTATGGCAATTTTGACTATAATACTGCCTATCCAAGAACATGCGAGATCTTTCCACCTTCTAAGGTCTTCTTCAATTTCTTTCTTCAGTTTTCTGTAGCTTTCATTGTAAAGATCTTTTACCTCGTTAGTTAGATTGTAGTTCCCAAATATTTGGAAAATATTTTCTTTGAGAATATCATGAATGGGATAGTTTTCCTAATTTCTCTTTCAGTTGATTTATTATTGATGTATAGGAATGCAATTGATATATGGCTGTTAATTTCATATCCTACTTCTTTGTGGAATTTGTTTATGAGTTCTAGAAACTTTCTGGTGGGGTTTTTTGGGTCTTCTGAATATGGAATCATGTCATCAGCAAATAGGGATAGTTTGCCTTGCTTCTTCTGAGGCAATTGGATGCTATAGAGAGTAGCCTACCTAGAACTACGAACAGGGACACAAGCAATTTTCAATGCATTAGAAATTTTTAAAAAACAAAATAATAATTTTAACACTAGGCATAAAGATGTAATGAAACATTTGAAATTTTTTTACCAATAATCGCAATTCTTACCTTTGTCCTGATGCCACAATCATGAACAGGATACATCAAGTCATATATATAAGTTTGAATCTGAGTCACAGGGCAGCCCCATCCCAGAAATAATTCATCAGGGAATATATGTCAGTTGCAGCTACCATCTGAAACGGGCTTACTGAGATAATCACCCAGTTCGTAGAACAACTTATTTTCACTATGGAAAGAACCAAGTGAGAAAGTGTCAGATGTGTGTCTGCTTTAAGGAAGAGTTCAAAGAACATTTGGATCTGCCCTTTGTGATAATTAGGAGGCCTTTTATGGCTTTAAAGAATAGCCTATAAAAGGCTTTCATATTATCAGCACCAAAATATCTGCCTAATTATGCCCCAAATAACTAGCTTTCAGTTCTTTTATAAGGGAAAAAAATCAACCTGCAAGTCTAAAGATAAAATGTATTTATATAGATCCTTGTTTCCTTCTAAAAAATCAGATCCCATAGGAGGTCACATATCTAGGACTACATACAAGGTATACAAGCAATTTGCAATACATTAGAATAAGAATGATGTATTCCCAGGATTCTTTTTAAAGAAAGAGAAGGATAAAACGTGGTACAGGAGAATTCATATCTACAGAAAGGGTGGTACAGGTACAGTAGAGTCCCTATCCGGATCAGCCATAAGAGGAAAGAGTTTCAAGAGAGAAAATCTATGACCTGTGATGGAAATGCTATGAAAGCTTTGTTTGTAAATCCCAATCTTATCCTGTACACTGAAATCTTCAAGAAGTCAAGAATAATCACTATTTTTATGGATTCATTGGGAGGAGTTGAGTCTTTCAACATGAAAAATGTATTCAATTAAGGAGCAAGTGACCACCAGGCCTCCAGCACCACTGGAGCCTGTAAGTCCTTGGTCTTTACAGATAAACCCTCACCAAGGAGGAGGAAAAAGCCAAGTGAGTGAAAACAAAGGGTTGGAGAGGGCAGGTGTCCTACATCAGTGATGGTAACCTCCAAATCACATCTCATCAGGTGTTTGAAATATTATTCTAACATCACCTAAATAAGATAATCAAGAATACCCTTTCTAAAAAAACAAAGAAAGAGAAAATATGTTTTAACAGCTGGAACTGAGGATGGATTCAAAAGGAAGCAGACACACAGGAAGCCCATGCGTCTGACTTCACTGCTGAAATGCCCATACATGACAGTCACATTTCAATGTGACATCGTGTGGTTCTCAAAGCCCTAAGAAATTACTTGAGAAAAAGCCTGAGGAGCGCACAGCAGCAGATACTTTAACTGAGGCAGAATTCTGCACCCAACCATCAAGAATTAGGGCCAGGGCCTGAAATACTGTACTTACACCATCCCAGAGAACCAGAATTTTCCAGTCACAGTCCTTTCTGTACATGTGCTGTTCTTTTTAGTAATTAACTTCTACATGGTGAGCTGGACTAATCAAGCATTCTGAAGGATTTATCTTAAAAAAGTGGAAAGATGTCAGAAGCTATATATGCTCCTTCCGACACAAAATGAATGCATAAGAAATTCATAACATCAGTTCCCAAAAGACCTCACTTCAAACAGAAGGAAACAGGCAACTCTACTTTATTTAAAAAAAAAAAAAAAACACAAGAAGTGATATTTACATGCTGCCTGAGAATAGTTGACCTTTCATCATCTCTTAAGCCAGGAGGCATTTGGATTCCAGGTAAAGTAGAAGAGATACATGAGAATAAGCTCATAAACAGCCAAGATTTGATTTAGTTTTATCCTATTGGCTTTGTAGAACTATTGACGAAGTGGACATGAGTGAAAGGCAAAGCAATATTTTTTTAAGGTACAAAAGAGCAATAGCATCACCAAATGGAATCAGGAGGCATCTAGAAGCAGGAAGATCAGCTAAGATAAAATCAAGCACTGGCAATTGACAGTGGGCTTGAAAAGGCATTTGAAACACAGAGGGCTTGAAACAGAGCCCAGGACGATTTCTGCAAAGGAGAATCAAGATAAGGAGAAGACCAAAACAAAGGAGAGAGCAAGGACCCCCAAAAAATGCCTTGGGACTCAGACATTTAGGCAGAAAGAGAAGAACGCATCCTCAGCTTATCCACACAAGTCCAAAAGGCTGAAAAGTATTTCTCTTCTGGATAATCATAATAAAATGGGTTCTCTGAAGGGAGAGAAGCACCTGGAAGGAAAGCAATCATCATGAATTTGAGAATGTTCTTTCTAAATGGCCACTTACCCTTGATGCTCTCAGCACAAGGCCAAGACAAGACCCGGAGGAAAAGCGAGACTTCTAAAGCCATGGAGTGGACTCCAGCTCAGGTCCTCTCAGGAACAGGAAGTGGGGCCTGGCTTAGTGATTTTATTTGGCGCCCCGTGCTCAGCTGCCTTCACTTTTCTCCCCGTGGGTAGCCCACGGAGCTCGGTCATGGGGCCACCCACCCCAAGACTCGGGCTCTTCTGATTACAGAAACACTGATGCTCATGGGGCCTGTCAGGGAAGGGTCCTTTGATGACTGTTTGCTCAGGGCCTGGGAAAATCATCTGGGAGGCTGGCACCATACACAATACTTCCATTAGACACTAAATTTCAAGAGACTGTTTTTTACTAAATAATGTTCAGGTGTTAAGCTTCTATCTAATACGTAAACGGCCTAAATCATACATACTTGAAATCAAAAGGTAATTATTACTTCATTTCTATGGATTTAACTGGAAGAATCACAAGAAGAAAAAATGACTTGGTCAGGAACATAAATTCCTAGGAGGGAGGGGCCAAAGGAAAATCAATTTTCCTGGTATTAAAAAAAGAGAAAAAAGCCAGGCACATTCCTGTAACCTCAGTGGCTTAGGAGGCTGAGGTAGGAGGATTTCAAGTTCAAAGCCAGTCTCAGCAATTTAGTAAGGACCTAAGCAACCTAGCAAGATCCTGTCTCAAAATAAAAATGAATTAAAAAAAATTTTAAGAAACATAAGGGCTGGGGATGTGGCTCAGTGGCTAAGCACACCTGAGTTCAATCCCTGGTACCAAAAAAAAAAAAAATACAAATTCAAGTCTGTTGTTTCTTCCTAAATTAATGTTTTAGTTAATACAGTTATTTCAAACTTTGTAACTATTTAAAGAAATATCTTATATACATATATACACATATATAATTATATATGCATAATGTGCATAATGAATATAGTTCTATTCCAATACTCCATTGAAATATAAGTTCCAGCTAATTTTTTTAAATTTTATATTCTAAAAATGTCAGTCATAATGTTTCTCTGTAATTTTAAGAGAAACTTAGAAATCAAAGGCTAACAGTAAATAACAATGAGCCTGAATTGATTTCCTATTATGATTTTTATTCATATCTAAATAATATTTTCAATGTTTCAGTCTGCTCTCAAATGACTACAGTCAACCCTCAGCGTCTGTGGGTCTGCATCCATAGATTCCATCAATCATGGATCTAAAATGTTTGGGAAAAAATTGCATATGTACTCAACAAGTACAGAAATTTTTCTGATCATTATTTTCTAAACCACACAGTGTAACAACTACCTACATGGCACTTATATTGTATTAGGTATTACAAGTAATCTAGAAAGGATTTCAAGTGTGCAGGAGCATATATGCAAATACTACATCATGTAATTCTAAGGACTTGAGTAGTCACAGATTTTGGTGTCTGCAAGGCTCAGATCTTATATCCCAAGGGTTATACACCCAGGGCATCCCTGTGTGTTATCAAAAGACTTCTATTTCCAACCTCATATTCCCATTCTCTAATGTGAGATCCCCAAAGCTGTGACCCACCGGGTTCCACATCAGGAAAGCCTGAAAGACCATTCACCCACCGCAAAGAGGGCAGAGGACTAGAGAAAGACAAGGCAAGGCCACACTACAGTTTTTGTCTTATTTTAGTTAAGCTTTTTCCTGATGTTATTAACATTTGTACAATCTAAAATTTGTTTTACCTTTGTCCTTTAAATTATGCCACTATAAACATCTAAGATGCTTCCAAAAGGCTTCTACGGGTTAAGAGTTCAGCCTATGGAATCATTTGACCAGTTTATCCACTGCATTTGTGTAAATTTTTAGAAAGCTAAGGCTCATTTTCATATTCTGTTAAAAATACAGCAATACTATGTAAATTACAAGTTTGCTGTGGATTTAAAAAAAAAACAGAAAAGCATATGGCCGAAGTTAATACTGGGGGGAAAAATGACTATTTCCCTCATCTTGAGCTCAGTTGGTTCCTTCAGTGTTCCCAGTACTACAAAGACCTCAGGATGAACAAAATCCACTCCCAACATTTCAGTTTTAATAATTTTTCTATGAAAGAATAATGGAATTTAAATATAACCTAGTGTAAAATGTACAGAGTTAAAACAAAAATCATATTTATTTGAGCACTGACTTAGTGAAATGCTGTTAGTACAAAGAACCTTATTTTTTCTTCACCCTTTGAGAGTAAGTTGTTGATATGATGCCCCTTTGCATTTAACTATTTTAGAATGTATATATCCCACAAAGAAGAATATTCTTCTACTGCCACAGGTCTCAATATTTGGTCATTGGATATCTGGAGATTTGCAGGACCAAAATATGTTTGTAATAATATTGAGACATTGTTTTTCACCATTGACATCTACATGCATTGTAAAAACATTGGTTCACCCTGTTGCCTCCTAAACACCAACCAAGGCAGTGGCACCAAACTGTGATGATTGTCATTGTATTCTTCACCCCATATACTCACAGTAAGGGGGTAGGATCAATTTCACTTAAGATTTAAGGCAGTAAAAAAATATTCATTTTGTTAATTGTCATCCCTTGAGGACACATCTCTTCAATATTCTGTGTGATAAAATGGAAAGGATGTAGAAAGTCCCCCAGGTGCATGTCAAAGTAGAGAGACTTCCTGGAGGAAAAGCTCCGTGGGCATGTTCAGGCTGTGAGTTGAGCTGGCCACGTTTTACAGAGGACACCATCTTTACTGTTGGGCAAACAATCATTACTCAGCTTTGGGTATTTGAGGGATATATTCTTGAAACTGAATGAAGTCAGTCACTTTAAATGACTCACATTTAAGTTCAGCAATTAAATTCGAACTTACAAGAAAATAAGATTTTTGGAAAACCTGTCTTGTAGCGGTATAATTTTTATGTTCCATCATGAAATATGTCATCATTCAAAAGATCTGCATAATGCAGCAAACCAAGATTGTCCAAATTGTTCGTGCATGATGTTATAGAAGCATGCATTGGCAAAAGGCAAGAAGGATCAATGGATTTTAATGTAATCAATATGAAAAGTTCTTTAGGGTGTTTTCAGATTCCACATTTTGCAGCTAACCTCGAAGAAACTACCCTCTTATCCACCTATCCCACTCCCAGGTATTTATCCAAAAGAACTGAAATTACAATTAGTGATACAGTCTCTATCACTACAGTAATGTTTATGGCAGTGTAATTCATAATAGTCAAATTATGAAGCCAGCCTAGGTGCCCATCAACAAATAAAGGGATAAAGAAAATACATGCACAATAGAGTTTTACCCAACCATAAAAAAAGAATGAAATTATTGTATTTGATGGTAAATGATTGGAACTAGATTCATGATTCAGTTAAAAATAAAAACATATTAGCCATTATTCCCAAACCTGCACGGAACCTATAGAGGACATCCTCTTTGTGTTTATTTGGACCTAGCTATTGTTTTGTAGCATTTCTGGAAAATACTTCATAACTAAGTTTTGAAGATAACTGTTTCTTTTACTGTGTTAGTTGCATTATCCATTTTTGTAAGATTATTTGTGGTAATTCAAAAATTAGACCACCACTGTAAAACAACTTTTCTACATATACATGCCAAACAAGACAAGTGCATAATAATTTTTCAAGTAGCTTTATGCAGTTTGTCCAGAATATTATTGGCAGGAACCACATGCATAATTCTTTGTATTACCCAAACCCTATCTTAGTATAATGAACTCATAAGAAATATTTGATTAACTTTCCTATAATTAAAGCACAAATCTTTCCTTAGTTTTCTCTATGGCTATGCTAAAAACAAAATTATATTTTTTCATTATATACAAATGAATGAAAATATATAAACTCATGTTTGTACACGTTAGAAACAAGAAATGTGAAGAATCCATTGCTTGAATGTTTATTAGAATCATTCTGATTGATACTCAAAGATCATAGAAATTCTGATCACACCCATCTGACATCCAATCTCATTCTGTTCTACCAGGGAACCCAGGGAATTAACTGATTTTTCCATTTACCTTCTTTATTCTCTATTTTGTCAAAACTGCTTTGAGAGGGATGCAACCCATTACTCACTTAGCCCTATTAAACCATGGCCCAACCTTTCTGGAATGATTAGCAAAAAAAATAAATAAATCTTTCTGAACTCCGAGGGAGACTTCAGGGTATATACGTGGTAGACCAGCAAAATTAAATGGTAAATGGTAATAGCTAAAAGGTAGATTCTGAACCTGTCCAAATATTGATTTCCATAGAGATCTTTTTCCATCTAAGTAGCACCACAGTTCATACACTCATCCAGGAGACATCCTTGAGTCCTTTGTTCTCCTCAGACTCTGCCCAAACCATTTGGATGTTTTCACATCATCTAAAACTTATCCTTGGGCTGGGGGTTTGGCTCAGTGGTAGAGTGCTTGCCTAGCATCAATGAGGCTCTGGGTTTGATTCCCAGCACTGCAAACAGTAAATGAAGCAACATATCTCCTCTGTTGCACCAGGTACAACCTTAACTCTAACCTTTAAATCAAAACCAATTTTCATCAGATTAGCTGTTATAGCTACTTCCAGCTGGTCAGCCTTGCATTACTAGGCTTCCAGGAGATCAGTAAGATTCTTTATGTCAGAGAAGCCGTTTCTTCATTTTCACAGCTGCCTAAATCCTTAGCAAACAAACAAAAAATAAGTCAGGAAAGTATTGTCCATCTTTCTTT